TATTTTTTGGTTGCAGCCATCATTGTTGTTTGGCGGGTCCGGGCTGGGGATTCAAACCCGCCACCTTAGGTGTACGTGGCTGGCGCCTTAGCCGGCCGAGCTATAGGTGCCGAGCCAACCTCAAACTCTTGGGCTTAAGTCATTCTCTTGCCTCAGCCTCCCAAATAGCTGGGACAACAGGCACCTGCCACTATGCCCGGCTCTTTTTTGGTTGTAGTTGTCATTGTTGTTTAGCAGGCCCAGGCTGGATTCAAACCCCCCAGCTCCGGTGTATGTGTCTGGTACCCTAGTCCCTGAGCTACAGGCTCTGAGCCCTATACTTTTCTTTATAGATTGTCAAAGACTGAAATTGCTCAAAAGTATTAAACTGTGGTTTTTCTGTTCCCCAAGGTTCTGTTAGAGCAAGATATATTTCATCGTTCCTTGATGGCTTGTTGTTTGGAAATTGTGCTCTTTGCCTATAGCTCACCTCGAACATTTCCTTGGATTATTGAAGTTCTCAATTTGCAACCATTTTACTTTTATAAGGTGAGATGAGAGCAAAATTCAGTTATGATGTACCTCATATAAATCTTATATTTATCTTTGTGGTGAAGAAATACAGTTTTGTAATGTCTGGAAAATACTTCCAGACGTGTTCTAAAAATATATATTCCTTTTGGGTGAAATCCAGAACAAAAAGGAAAATATGAAGATATCAGTAAGTTAAATCAATCTCACAGCCTGAGTTATTTTCCTATCACTAACTTGCAAGTGTGACCTGGAAATAAGACCTGTGAATGAAAATCATAATTTCCATCAACCAGGTGCAGCATAGTGAAGAACAAAAAAGCAGTTTCTACCAGGAGAAAGAAAAAGGCCTAACATTGATTTTGGTGATGATCTAACTAATCATGAAGCTATAACAACAGATTATGCTTCTTCCCCAAATTTGAGCTAATTCAGTATGGATGACTCTTACTTTACCTTTATTTTTATTTATTTATTTATTTTTGCTAAAACTATTTTTATTAACCTTTTTCTTTTTTTTTTTTTTTTCTTTTTGAGACCGAGCCTCAAGCTATCCCCCTGGGTAGAGTGCCGTGGCATCACAGCTCACAGCAACCTCCAACCCTGGGCTCAAGCGAGTCTCCTGCCTCAGCCTCCAAAATAGCTGGGACCACAGGCACCTGCCACAACGCCCGACTATTTTTTTTTTTGGTTGCATCTGTCATTGTTGTTTTGGCGGGCCTGGGCTGGATTCAAACTTGCCACCTTAGGTGTATGTGGCTGGCGCCTTAGCCACTTGAGCCACAGGCACCAAGCCTATTAACCTTTTTCTTATAAAACATATAGGTCACAGCTACTAAGCTGTTAATATGTCATTGTAGTCAATATTTCATCATCATAATCAATGAATTTCATGTCACCTGACATCAAAATTTAAGAGATGTAATGCTACTATTACACTTATGGCATGATTTAGTAAATATTTAGTCACCTGGGCTACTTTCAAATTGCTGATGTTGGAAGAATTAGGTTGAAGAATTACATTTTTATATGTAAAGTATGCCTGAGTTAGAGTTGTAGACCATGCAGATCATTGAAAAGTATATCTGCAAAGCTTGAATTATTGACATTTAAAATATAGTGATTCTATATACTTATTTTAATGTTGATGTGTGTATTCAGCTTTTGCCATTAGGAAAACCTTAGTTTTTGCCTGCAACCTAATAGCAATTTGTTTTTATTTGTACCATCTTTATTTTATTCAAGAAGCTAAGTGTTAACTGGGTGCAGCAAGTCATGCTATAATCCGAGCACTCTGGTAGGCCAAGGTAGAAGGATCACTTGAGGCCAGGAGTTTGAGATCACCCTGAGCAATTACAAGACCCTGTCTCTACAAAAATATATATATTTTTTAATTAGCTGGGCATGGTGGTGTTACACACCTATAGTCCTAGTTACTTTGGAGGCTGAGGCAGGAGGATCACTTGAATCCAGGAGTTTGAGTTTATAGTGGGCTATGATAATGCCACTATACTTAGCCCAGGTGACAAAGCAAGACTCTCTCTCAAAAAAGAAAAAAAGTTAAATGCCTTGGGTGGTGCCTGTGGCTCAAAGGAGTAGGGCACTGGTCCCATATACTGGAGGTGGTGGGTTCAAACCTGGCCCTGCCAAAAAAAATAAAAAGTTAAATGCCTTTTTACTTTTTTTTACCACATAAATGATATGCTCTTTTAAGAAAACCAGAAGAGGCTCGGCGCCTGTGGCTCAAGGGGCTAAGGCGCCAGCCACATACACCTAAGGTGGCAGGTTCGAATCCCCAGCCCGGGCCTGCCAAACAACAATGATGGCTGCAACCAAAAAATGGCCGGGCATTGTGGCAGGCGCCTGTGGTCCCAGCTACTTGGGAGGCTGAGGCAGGAGACTCACTTGAGCCCAGGAGCTGGAGGTTGCTGTGAGCGTGATGCCATGGCACTCTACCCAGGGGGACAGCTTGAGGCTCCTGTCTCAAAAAAAAAAAAAAGAAAAAGAAAACCAGAAGATACACATAAATATAAATATTTAAAATCACACATTATAATCTAATTGTTAATCATCAGTATTAGCATTTTTATTCATATACTTAGTCTTTATTATAGATAGTTCCCCTTATTAAAATACAATGATGGCTCAGCGCCTATAGCTCAACCGGCTAAGGCGCCAGCCACGTACACCTAAGGTGGCAGGTTTGAATCCCCAGCCCGGACCTGCCAAACAACAATGACGGCTGCAACCAAAAAATAGCCGGGCGTTGTGGCGGGCGCCTGTGGTCCCAGCTACTTGGGAGGCGGAGGCAGGAGACTCGCTTGAGCCCAGGAGTTGGAGGTTGCTGTGAGCTGTAATGCCACGGCACTCTGCCCAGGGGGATAGCTTGAGGCTCCGTCTCAAAAAAAAAAAAAAAAAAAAAAATACAATGATAGGGTCCATAAGCAAAGTGACTTTAAGTAATTTATTCATTCTGTTCTTTTGAGATATTGGGAAGAATAGTTGGAAAGGAGCAGTGCATTCAAAATGGAATTGGACTGGCAACCCAAGACTTTTACCACTATAGGGCTGTTGACCAATTTCCACCTATTACTGCCTCAGCTTTTCATATGTAAAATAAAACATGCAAAACAAAAATGTGGGTGAAACATATTTTAAAGACTTTTTTTTTGAGACAGAGTCTCAGTATGTCACCCTCGATAGAGTGCCGTGCCATCACAGCTCACAGAACCTTAAACTCTTGTTCTTAAGCAATTCTTTTGCCTCAGCCTTCCAAGTAGCTGGGACTATAGGCGCCTGCCACAGTGCTCAGCTATTTTTTGGTTGTAGTTGTCGTCGTTTGGCAGGCCCGGGCTGGGTTCAAAGCCACCAGCCCCGGTATATGTGGCTGGTGCTGTAGCCACTGAGCTACAGTTGCTGAGCCTATTTTTAAGACTTTAAAGTTTCTTTATAAATTAGAAGATACTAGTAAGCCACAGAATTATGGTTCAAAAGTGGCATTCGTTCTTTGTTGCAGAGTAAGACCAGAATTGAATTGACTGCTTAAACCGTATTGGCTGCTTAATTTTCTCCTCTCCAGGTTATTGAGGTGGTGATTCGTTCAGAGGAGGGTCTCTCAAGGGACATGGTGAAACATTTGAACAGCATTGAAGAACAGATTTTGGAGAGTTTAGCATGGAGTCACGATTCTGCACTGTGGGAGGCTCTCCAGGCTTCTACAAACAAAGTTCCTACTTGTGAAGAAGTGAGTTAGGACAAAGCTGATAATCCTATCATTTTATAAAAAAATAACAAGGCCAGGTGCGCAGGCTGAGGCAGGTGAATTGCCTGAGCTCACAGGTTCAAGACCAGCCTGAGCCAGAGTGAGACTAGTCTCTAAAAAAATAGCCACGTGTTGTGGTGGGCACCTGTAGTCCCAGCTACTTGGGAGACTGAGGCAAGAGAATCACTTAAGCCCAGGAGTTTGAGGTTACTATGAGCTATGACGCCACAGCATTCTACTAAGGGTGACAAAGTTGAGACTCCATCTCAAAAGAAAAAAGAATAAAAATAAATTTTAAAAAATAACCCTTTATTCACATACTGTATAATTCACCCCTTTAAAGCATACAATTTAGTGGGTTTTGGGTAGCTGTCACTACAGTCCATTTTAAATCATACTCATCATTTCATAAGAAACCCACATCCTTTAGCTATCACTTCCCTACCCACCATCTTCTCCCTAGGTCTTAAGTAACCTGTAATATACATTCTGTCTCATAAATTTGCCTATTTCTGGATATTTCATATAAGTGAAATCATAACAATGTAGTCCTTTGTGGCTGATTTCTGTCACATAGCATGATGTGGGTTTTTTTGTTTGTTTGTTTGTTTGTTTTAGACAGTCTCACTTTATCACTCTGGGTAGAGTGCCGTGGCATCACACAGCTCATAGCAACCTCCAACTCCTGGGCTTAGATAATTCTCTTGCCTCCGCCTCCTGAGTATCTAGGACTATAGGTGCCCGCCACAATGCCTGGCTATTTTTTTTGTTGCAGTTTGGCCAGGGCTGGGTTCGAACCCACCACCCTCAGTATATGGGGCCAGCGCCCTACCCACTGAACCACAGACGCCACCAACATGATGGGGTTTTTTTTGTTTTTGTTTTGAGACAGAGCCTCAAGCTATCCCCCTGGGTAGAGTGGTGTAGCATCACATCTTACAGCAACCTCCAACTCCTGGGCTCAAGCAAGTCTCCTGCCTCAGCCTCCCAAGTAGTGGGACCACAGGCACTCGCCACAACGCCTAGCTATTTTTTGGTTGCAGCTGTCATTATTGTTTTGGAAGGCCCGGGCTGAATTCAAACCCACCACCTTAGGTGTATGTGGCTGGCACCTTAACCACTTGAGCCACAGGCGCTGAGCCCAACATGATGTTTTTAAAGGTTCGTCTGTGTTATAGTGTGTGTCAATATTTCATTTCCTTTTATTGCCGAATATTTTATTATATGGTTATGCCACACTTTAGTCACTTATCAGTCAGTAGACATTGAATTTTTTCTAACTTTTGAATGTTATGAATGATGTTGCTATGAACATTCAGGCACAAATTTTTTTTTAATTAATTTATTTTTATTTATTTATTTATTTATTTTTGAGACAGAGCCTCAAGCTGTCGCCCTGGGTAGAGTGCTATGGCATCACAGCTCACAGCAACCTCCAACTCCTGGGCT